GTTGCAATATTTTTTTGTTCGACGGTACAGCCTCCTGCAGACAAATTCTCATAAAACGTGCAATTATTACGTGTAATCTCCGATTACTAACATCTAATATAAAATAAATTGGGCGGCTTTGGTTAATCTCTCTAGCTTTTGATAACATCGTCGTATTATAAAGATATGATAATAGATAAACGCATGTATATTAAACGAACCATTTAGTTCGGACTTCTTTTTAAGTGCGTGTGATATCCGCGATTTTTTTTTATCCTTTAGCTCGAAACTAAGGCAGCTACAACAGCAGCTCTCGAGTTTACACACTCCAGCATAACTAGCTAAACAGCGGTGCAGTTCTACCAAAGCGTTCGCCATTTCACAAAAAACAAACAAAAACAACTACTCAGTTACAACATGCTTTGTTCTTTTCCTTTGAGTCGGCATCAGTTGGCACGTCGTTTACACTTGTTTACACTGCAGAGGAAGGGAGTGAGAAGGAATATTTGAGGAGTAGTAGAAGGAGGAGAAGTCGGGTTTGTAGGCGGCACAGGTGTACCAGCGCGTTACTCGAGCAGACCAACCATACTTGTCGTCCTCTTCATTTTTGTTTTGCGCAGGAGCCTTTTCACAACTCGGTTGGTTGCAGAGTCCTCCCGCGACGACACTTGTTGAGATGCGAGGAGCACCGAAGGTACCGTTGTCAACATGCACTGAGCGTCCATCAGTTCTTTCGCAAAGAGGTCGCACGTTTAACGGTGATAGTTCCGGTCATTTTCTGAATTTGGTTTTTTTTTTGTCTTCCTCATTTTGAGCTCGAGCCAAGCTGATGGCGGGTGCGAATGAACAGAAAGAAGCGACTCTTCCTTGCGACGCGTTCCATCGTTCAGTTTTTTTTTGTTGTTGTTGTTCACATTGGCTACGCGCAACGTCTGGAAGCAATGCACGCGTGGTTCTTGATTGCAGGCGGTCGCCGTTGAAAGCGCTGATCAGACGCCATGGGCGCGAAGCAGCAAGGCGCAAACTGCGACCAGGACAACTGCGGAAGACGTGGCATGACTTTGCGGGGCCGAGTTGTGACCTGACGATGGTCGCGCGCTGTCTTTGTCCGCTGTAGGAAGAGAGAAAAAACAAACAAAACACAAGTCGTAAAGTTGCTGACATCGAAAGATCACACACATCTTCCATATACGTGATCGGAACAATCAATGCGACGTTGTACCATTAGAAAAAAAAAGTAACTGAGAAACCATCATGAGAATTATTATCGCTATAATATTTGCACCCACTCAACCAAGCATAAAATATATTTGTTTCTTGTTTTCTTTATATTATAACAACCAAGGGAAAAGAGTAGCCGTTGCCAAGTAATGATGACAACTATTTCATTCATTTATTATTTCAATAACAAATTAAGAAAATCGTGAACAGAAATACCCTGCGCTAGCAAGATCAAGTATATTTTGTACTGGAACCAGCATGATAGGGTCTTGTTCCCCAGTCGTCCTCGTAGGAGCAGGTTGAGTAAGGTGTAGCCCTATTGACACATCATTATTACTGAAATAGCAAGGTACTAATGAAACGCTAAGGCGTCAATTATCCCCATATTATTCATTGAAGTTTTATTCTTAAATGAGGCGTTGTTGCAGAGTTCAAGGTTTCATCTTCTCAAACGGTACTTTTTGTTAATGTATCGGATTGCCGTAATGGTTGTGCGGCACCATCACTATGCTATGTGCTAGAGACGCTTACACTTCGATATTACAAGCCCTCGAAACTCCTGTAGTTCAGCATAGTATAGCGCCATGAATTACACACGCCCCGAAACGCATCGTATGGGCTCCTGGCCATCAGGGCTTACGAGGTAATGAGGCCGCTGACGCGGCCGCCCGAGCGCTTACCCACCGGGCTCCTCACCTTGGCTCTTATGACTCGGAGGCCAATACACCGCTGCTGCGGTTCAAAGAAATTCTGACCTATTATCGTGACACTCACCGCCTTTACCCGGCTCCTGCAAAGGGGTTGAGTAAGGCGGAAGAGCGAACTCTAAGGCGCCTGCAGACAGGTACTCTACTCTGTCCTGCAATCCTAAAGCATTTCGATGCGAACACAGATGGGCGGTGCCCATACTGTGGGGAGACGTGTGATATCTTCCACATGGTATGGGCATGTCCGAAAAATCCCCACCTACCCCCTTCCCCTACCCCTTCCCGAGAGGCATGGGAGACTGCCCTCCTCAACTGCTCATCACTAGAGTCTCAACGGGCTCTAGTGAGACGGGCGCGAGTAGGGGCCTCGTCATGCGGTGTCCCGGACTAAGGACGCCGACCATGTAGCAGGGTCATGCTTTGGCCCCGTACCTCTCTCTTCTCTCTTTTATAATAAATGTTTTTCATCATCATCATCATGAATTACACACGTGGTTGAATGACGACTGTTGCCCCGCACATTTCTGTGCAGACTTTTCTTGGCATGGAGAGACCTCTGGGGTGCATTTATTGTTTTATTTATTTGTACAAGTGCCTGCAGCTCCACGAGGGCATTATAGTTAGTGGGCAACTCAAGAAGCAGTGGACGCATACCAAATATATGACACACAGAGCGAGAGATGAAAATATGACCTATGAAGGATATCATACGACCGACTCACTAAAACAAGTGCACACCACATCATGATAAGAAAAACACGTATCACACATATCACTTCAGAAAACATATTCGAAAAGAGAGTTCCGGGCAGAGCGAACTATAGGCTTACATAACGCGGCAAAATAATGTGGTTGCTGCCCTGACAGGGGCAAGTCTAATGCCGAAACATTTGCTCCAACGACATTCGTGTTTCAACGATTTCTCAGACACGTCAAATAGCCATCATCATAAGGCCACTCGCGGCAAACAGTGAAGTAAACGAAATTTCGCGCTCCCCTGGACAAACGGGATGTATAATGATAACAGAGTAGTGCTGTGGATGTTTAGGGCTTTCGAACAAACTCTGAGTGTGTGTAATTATTAAAGTGCACGCGTAATTCCTGTGCACGAGTGTACTTGTGTTGCATCGCCTTTTTTTTTTCTTTTTTTACTGTTCACCACCTGGAAGAGGCCGGCAATCAAGCCGGCAACTTCGTAACTCAGCAGCGGAACTATACAGCCATTGATTCCATCAATGTGTACGAAAAAACTACGAGGTGGTGCAGAAGGCCACTGAATATAAAATAAAATACAATAACCTATAAACTACGTAGAAGAACGAACACGAAAATTACGACGACGGAGGCGTTGGAAAGAAACGCGACGCATTGAGGACGCAGCGGCAGTGACCGAACTCGCGGACTTCGACAGCTCTCGTGCGGGGTGACTCCTTGCCTGTACAAAATCCCCCCCCCCCCTCTCTCTCTCTCTCTCTCTCTCTCTCTCTCTCTCTCTCTCCTTTTCTCTCCCTTTCTCTATCTCCCTTTTTCTCTCTCCCTTTCTTTCTCTCTCCCTTTCTTTCTCTCTCCCTTTCTTTCTCTCTCCCTTTCTTTCTCTCTCTCTCTCTCTCTCTCGCTATTCCCATAAATGTACGGCCGATCACTCCTACGCCACACAGTCAATAACGATGAGTATAAAGAAAGGAAAAAAAAGCAAACCGGGCTTTCGCCTGAAGCACAGAAGACGAGCGTATGCGCAACAGGGGCGGCGGTAAAGGTCTTCTCCTTTTATACGAGCAGCCGTAAATGAGCGCACGAAAGGATGGCCACAACGGGTGCGCGATGGTCGCCCATTCGCACAAATTGCAATGTCGGCCCGAGCGATGCCCGCATAGACGACTGCATAGTATACGACGAGTGGCGACGCGAGGGCCGAGTCTCGTACGAACACGAAGGCGAGGCCATTTGTTCCGAAGGGAGGAGGAGGAGGAGGGAAGGGAGACGACACGTCGCATGTAAATGCGCCCTCGAGCAAGGCTTATATAGCTCGGTCGCGGTGGCGCATTGTGCGGGGTGTAGCGGAACATGCACATGAGCCGTAAGGCGTTGCTTCGGTCGTCGCGGCTTCATAAAACACGTATGTATTACGCCGTACGAATGACGGCCGCGTCGAAGGACGGGGCCCGAATGTAGCACGCGTCACCCGAGCTTTCGTAAGCAGACAAAACACGCAGAAAAAAAAAAAACGATGGAAAAATTGCTATTTTGGTCACGAATTTGTCGGGGGTATTAACTGCTCTAAACGCACCTGTTTACTTAATAATAATAATAATAATAATAATAATAATAATAATAATAATAATAATAATAATAATAATAATAATAATAATAATAATAATAATAATAATAATTGAAGTTTAACGTCCGGGAACCACGCCATGATTATGAGAAACAGCGTAGTGGAGGGCTCCGGAAATTTCTATCACCGGGGGTTCTTAAACGTGCACCTAAATTTAAGCACACGGGCCTCAGGTATTTCCGCCTCGACCGAAAACGCGTCCGCCGCTGCCCGAGATTCGACGTGCGGATCAGCAGTCGAGTGCCGTAACTACTAGACAACTGCGGCGGGATGTTTTCCTGCGTTAAACGTGTAAGCTAAAAACGGGCTTCGGATTTGTCAATAAAAACACCGTTTATTAGCAGATACACGCCTCTACATTTAAATAACTGTCACGTGACGTTGATCGCTATGTCCATGCACTTTTCGACTTAAATAAAGGAAAACCTTACCCGGCGTGTTCGGTGGGACAGCGATATTCTAACGTGGCACACAGTCTGTTTGTTCCTCATGTTTATTTTCTTCCTCCAATAAAATGAAGGTTTGTCGAATATTCCGAAGTAGGTACATTAGGAAATGAGAGCTCGTGAGTCAGTGTATTCGAGTGCCGACGTGTTGAAGACACACTTCGTCGGGCAATATTAGAAAAAAAAAATTTAATTTCGGGTTGGCAGTTAGATGTATCAGGGATATTATAGGACTCAGCCGTCACTAATACCTTTAGACGGCAGGGAAAGAAAAGCGAACAAAAAGCCAATAAATTGCAAGAAACTTACCGGATCTCTCGAACTCCTGATTAAAGTTTGGAGGAGGGTACCCTTGAGTGCCTTCTTCTTCAGTAGAATACTCTCCTCGGCGCCCTAGGGAAATTTTAGAAGTTATATTTTATAAACTACTCTTACTATTTGTGCGCCATGTCGTAACATTATAGCTATGATACAGATCTTATTAAGGCTACGATTTTAATGTTTGGCTAAACAGAAAATTTCGAAAGAGTCATAAAACAAGTCATTCGGGAACCTTACGTTTCGTGCAGCGCATATTAATGTTCTAAGACCTGCGACTGTCCTTTCTTGTTTTAACGTGATAGCGTTAAAAAGCTCGTGCAGCAGAAAACCCGCCGCCGGCGTCGGCCCCGCTGGTTTTGAGTGAAAAATCGTTTGTGCGTCTGTGACCAAAAAATCAAGTTACAGAGACAGCCGCGGGAGGCCACTACTTGTCCACGCATGCGCGCGCGATCACACTGAAAAAATCTGCTCATTCAAAGAAAAAAAAAAGTGTTCAAGGTCACGAGACATGGTAGTTTCTTTGCTCTGCCACCCCTCCCTGCTTAGCTTCCAGCGCTTTCCTCGTGACGAGAGGAGAGAAAATGCATTTGCAGCATGCGACAAACCTTTGTAACTCCACTCGCCCTGGACGGATTCTTGAAATTTTCAAGCCGTTGAATTTCTGAGGCAATAAGCTCTTTAGTGAATTCATTCCATGGTTACTTGAAAAAGTGTTTCAGGGCCCTTTAAAACGCATTTTGTTCGACAGGTGTCACGACGAAAACGAGCCTATTCGGCGATAATAGGGCGCACTGGTCCAATATACGGTGTGCGTGTTTGTGTGCGTGCAAGTGTTTTTAACACACACACACACACACACACACACACACACACACACACACACACACACACACACACACACACACACACACACACACACACACACACACACACACACACACACACACACACACACACACACACACACACACACACACACACACACACACACACACACACACACACACACACACACACACACCACACACACACACACACACACACAGACACACACACACACACACACACACACGTACGTACGTACGTACATACATACATACATACATACATACATACATACATACATACATACATACATACATACATACATACATACATACATACATACATACATACATACATACATACATACATACATACATATATATATTTGTGTGTGTGTATGTGTGTTCTAATCTCAATTAGAACTCCAAGAATAATTTTCTTAGTTGCAGTTGATGAACTAAAGTCGTCGTTTTGGTGTCATCTTCAACTTGAACCGCGATTTTCTATATAAATGTACAAAAAGCGTCTAACAGGTAGCACCAGTAGAGCCAACTTTTTCGCAAAATGAGTTGCTTTCGTCAAGGTTGCTGCCTTGACGAATACAACTGCTTTCGTCGATACACATGCTCTGGAGACATTCTCTCTTCTACAATTTTTCGCTACTTTAACCCCCCACCCACCCACCCCTATTTTTAACTTGAATTTTTCTCTGGACTTTTTATTTTTATTGTTGACTATGCCTTATATCAAGGTCAAAAAGCTTATATCAAGAGGATGCTATCAAAAAAAAAAAACACGAGGGTTTTTATGCATTCGCCTAATGTGAATCGAAGTCGAAAGCCGTCTTTTTTTTATTCCTTTTATTCTCAGTCAATTGTACAGATTCTCCCTCCTTCGTAAACTTTCTGCAGCTAGCGTGGTGTAGCGCTACATCCAGGATCGGAGACATTAAAAGGCTTGCGCACCTCCCGTGGCTCAGGGATTGGTCCACTTTGAGCGAACGACAATGTCATGCGACGGTGTATTAACGTGACGTCACGTGACGCGGCACTACAGTGACGACATTACGATGACACAAATGTTTGAGAAATGTCGAGTCATCACATGACGTCACATATCTCACGTCATGACTTAATGTCATTATATAATGCGTTTGACACATGGGACGCCATGCGTTTGGCATCATGATGTGATCACTTCACATGGTGATGGCATCACACGATTTTTTTCACTGCTCATTTTGACACAGCTGACGGTCTTTTTTTGCGTGTAATGAAGCTTCTAAGGCTTTTTTCTTAATAATTAGACGCAAGAATAACAAGATACACACGATAGAGATATTTTATGCTCACCTTCTTTGAGCAGAGCGTTTGAAGCGTGAGTTCCCAAATGATGTCGAGGTCCATTGGATTGCTGCGTTGCTGAAAAGAGACAAAGATGCGTATAACAGGCTTTTTGTGTTGATTCTTACGAGTTGTACGCAGTTCACAAATGGGAGGCCGTTTAGAAGAAGCATAATTAGATACAATTTCGGCATGTTTTGTCAAATAATTGCGTGAACGGGACGCAAGACTTTGATTTATCTTTTTTTTAAATCATTTTCAAGACCAACACAGCGCTAAGCTTGGAAGATTGTCACTCAGCTAATGCGTTTTTTTTTTCAAGACTTTTTTTCTTTGCCATTACAATGTCACCATTGCCCACCTTTAAAAGCACTTACTTTGTGTCGAATTGCTGATTGATCAAGTTTAGCTGTTGGAGTCGTAAACAACATCACCGGGCACTTGGTGAAGTCGCCTCAACAAGCTTCTACCGTGTTTTGGACGAAGAGTAAGATTGATTTGGTCGCTTTTCGGCAAAACTTTGGCTTTTTTTCTCGTGTTTTCCGATCGTTTGCTTGCGTTTGAATTCGAAAACGGTGAGAAAAAGAAACGAGACAACGTCTATTCTATCACTAATCCATTCATCCCGATAATTTCTGAGTTTCTTATCCTAAAATGTGCCTGTTCTTAGATATATGTGTCATGCGTGAAAATGCACGTGCTCTCAGGTTTTCCTGCAATATCTTTGTATCTTTGTCTTGACGGCTTTGTATTTGATTACAGTACTGTTGTTAGCAAAAACCATTCATTGTAATCATAGAAAGGAGCCGAACAAAAGGGAAGAATGTTAACTGGAAAATGTTTGCTAGATATTCTGCAGGATGTGGATGCAAGTTTGCTTCACAAGAGTGGTGTGGCCACCGCTAACGTTCAACGTAATGTCCTTTGGACTGTACATGAACAAGTTATAGCATTGATCACGCTTAGCTCAACGGTTCATTGCACTGTCGTCTCTGGCATGGCAGGCTTGCAAAGTGACGTGAGCATTGCTAGTGTTTTCAAAATCGGCTGGCCTCAGTGACAGGTCACGGCCCTGATGAGCAGCCACACACGTCACGTACTGATAACATCTCCTCCTAACCCCTTTTTTGTATTTTTCTTTATTTTTCGTACTACAATCTTTTCCCTAGGGTAAGGCAGCAAACTTGACCCTCATCTGGTCAGTCTTCTGCCATTCCTTTGTTGCTGGAGGCAAACCGAATTTCAAGTACCAATTACTTGGCTATCTCAACGCAAAATGTGAATGAAGTTCAAAGGGCCCTGAAACAATTATTAAAGTAGCCATAGAATGAATTCAATAAAAGAGCTTATTGCCTCATGACTTCAACATCGCAAAAATATTAAGAATCTGTCCAGTGCGAGTGGAGTTACAAAGGTATGTGGCATGTTTCAATTGCATTCTCTCTTCTCTCGTCCCGACGAAAGCGCTGGAAGCTAAGCAGGGAGGGATAGTAGGCCCACAGAAAAACGTCACATGCGCTTCGCAACCTTGAACACTTCTTAATTTTTTTTCTTCGAATGCGCGGCTTTTTCAGTGTGATTGCGCGCGCACGCGAGGACAAGTCGCGGCCTCTCGCAGCGATCTCTGTAACAAGCGAGCGCGCCATGTTAAAGTCAGCCAATGGCTGATATATGGGTCGTTGGCGTGTTATTTTTGGACATATAACGTGATTTGTCGAGAGAAGAGAAAGCAATTTTTAGCTGACTTTGATAATGTATTTTGAATTCGAGGCCGTGTTCTGTGCTATAATATTTGGCTCGCTTGCATTGTCGGGAGCCTCTACTACCTATCGGCAGCGTTTTCTGACCATGCACAAAAAGTGTTGCAGGGCCCCTTTAACGTAAACGTTTTGCCGATACATTGATGTACGCGTCACCATGCTGAAAAGCACATGTACGTATTAATTAAATCTTACAGGTTGTCTCCCAGTGTTTCTTGGTTTGAAACTCTTTGGAGGACGCCGCAGTCGAAGACGTCGGTCGAGGTATTTCTGCAAAAATTTCGAGCATTCATCAGTATGAACGAAATTTATTGTACACCACATCAAGAGACCAGTGCAGTGCTTAAGCCAGAAACTGTTACTTATCGACTGCTTCTAATTGTTTTCTTTTTTTGTCGACAAGCAATTATGAGTTTTCAGGATTATATGCACAATTCGTAACAATTAACCTCGCATAGAACGATGTGAACGACACTTCACCATTATTTCCTGCTTTTTAACACATCATCTTTGCACAAGTGCTTCTCAAATACGAAACTGTGGTTTAGAACTGTGTGTTTGACAACGCATTAAAGCTTAATTGCCCCGAATGTACGCAGTTTAAAAAAGCGTCATTTGCACTATCAACCTGATTTTGGTATTATGATAAGTTGTCTTGGTCTGGTTACGATCTTGTGTGGGACCACACCGTAAGAATATACACGTGAGCACGACTAAACGTAAATGCCTGCTTATATAAATCAAAACATTTTGCGTAATACTACGCTCAAAAATCAAATTCTCATTGAGTTTTACGGAATAATATCATGTGGCTACTTTGAAGAAAGTTGTTCTACTACCTTCGTGCACTGCAGTTTACGGAGTTAGTTAGCGTCATTACCAGCAGTAGTAGTATGAATTTCAGGCGGCGTTATAATGCAGCATCAGCCACTCACCTTGGAGCTTGATGTTGGCCTCGGTCTCGCCGAGGGGGTTCTTAGAGACGCACTTGTAGGTGCCGAAGTCGTCAGGCTTCAAATCGCGTATGGTGAGGCGCAGCAGGAGCCTGTAGGGCCCGGTCTCTACCACCAGCGAGTCGTACTTGGCGTTCGAGATGAGCATGGTTCCGTCGTCTCGCTCCCAGAAGGTCATGCCGCGAGGATGCGTCTCCAGGTTGCACTCGAGAGTCACGTCGGCGCCCAGCGGCGCGCCCACCAACTGGTTGGGTTGCCAAATCATGGGCGCGACTGCGCAGGCAGGACGCCAAGCGTTATAAGCGGTAGCTTACCGTTTGTCTCTAGGGCCTGCGTTATCGAGTCTTTTGGGAATGGTGTGATGAAACTACGCCGCAGTTTAAAGAAAGATGAGAAATTGGAGTTGGGCAAATAACGACTCAGAGTAGCACGTCATTTTCGAGAGGGTCGACGCAAGAAAAAACACGGTTCTACACTGAACACTGCACTGAACACTTCTACAGACTACGCAGTTTGAGTAAATCCTAGTAATACTGTAAACGCGGAAGCACGTTTAGTGGCAAAGTTCAACTGTTTTTTTACTCTTTTATGTCGGTAGTGTTTCATATAACTCCCTTTGGTTATTCATGGTCGCTAGCGCATGCCTATTTATCAACGGCTCGTTGAACTTTATGGGTCAGAACTTTTTATCCCGCTATGTGGGAAAGGAGAATCGAGTTCGCTGTTGAATGCTTTGGTTTCCAAATGCAAAGCTGGCATTTTTTTCTAATGACAGGCATGTTATATAAAAGAGTAGCTGAAGGTTAACTCAACGTGCTTTCCTTCATTTGTCCCCCTTTGTTCTTATTTATACCTTGGCCTACGATTAGTACTAACCTGACCAAGTTGCTATATTTGTGAACTAGGACGACATAACTTGAGCATATATGAAACCATATAGCTGAGTTCACATGTGTAAAAGCACGGGCGTTCATCTGGTTCCTGTAAGTCCCAGTGTCATACTCACAGTCAACCTTGAGTAGTATACGCTTGCTCACGGACGGCTGCACGCCGTTCAAGGCGATGCACAGGTACGGCCCCATGTGCAGCCGCGTCACTTTGCTCATGTTCAGGTACTCGCCTTGATAGCTGGGCACCCCTGCAGACAGCACCACGACACCTATTTATTGTTTATGTCAAGCCTTCGTTGTAACAGCGTAGCTGTTTGATTCCGAGGTTAATCCCTTTGGATCGTGGCGCAGTTTCTATAGTGGGCATGTTGCACAGAAATCGGGTAAGCCCCGCTACTCCACTCAAAATTCTCAAAAATGACACAGAAACTTCCATTAGCAATCGAAAAGTTTCAGAATATATGACCCACCCGACTTTTGGCCTATCCCCCTGAGTGGGTGGATGCCAATGATGCCAGGATTATTGTCATCATCATCGCCTTTGTCATGTGCCAAGCAACTCTAGCGTGTATGTACCCAAAGGAATTGGGCAAGCACCACTACTCACCTACGGTCCCCTGAACATTACGAGCAAAGTCAAGCAAGGAAATTTCAATGAAAATGTGATGCCACCAGCTTCACTGTTTAACGAGTCTTCGCGACGTCATGTGAGCGAGACTGCTTCAAATATTATTCCCGCAGTCTTCATCTATCTATCTATCCTATCTATCTATCTATCTATCTATCTATCTATCTATCTATCTATCTATCTATCTATCTATCTATCTATCTATCTATCTATCTATCTATCTATCTATCTATCTATCTATCTATCTATCTATTATCTATCTATCTATCTATCTATCTATCTATCTATCTATATCTGTCTATCTGTCTGTCTGTCTATCTGTCTGTCTGTCTATCTGTCTGTCTGTCTAGCTATATCTATCTATCTATCTATCTATCTATCTATCTATCTATCTATCTATCTATCTATCTATCTATCATATCTATCTATCTATCTATCTATCTATCTATCTATCTATCTATCTATCTATCTATCTATCTATCTATCTGTCCCTATCGGTCTGTCTGTCTGTCTGTCTGTCTGTCTGTCTGTCTGTCTGTCTGTCTGTCTGTCTGTCTGTCTGTCTGTCTGTCTGTCTGTCTGTCTGTCTGTCTGTCTGTCTGTCTGTCTGTCTGTCTGTCTGTCTGTCTGTCTGTCTGTCTGTCTGTCTGTCTGTCTGTCTGTCTGTCTGTCTGTCGTCTGTCTGTCTGTCTGTCTGTCTGTCTGTCTGTCTGTCTGTCTGTCTGTCTGTCTGTCTGTCTGTGACTGCTCTCCAGACCGTACCGTCAATGCGATCTATACTAAAATTGCCATGGCATATCATGACAGTATGACGAAAATGAATGCATCGCCATATCACCAAAGTCATGGCTATCTTATCATGAACGGTGTGATATTTACACGTAGTCGTAGTGGTGCTCCTGTGACCGGTTCCGTAACTTGATATATCCTAATATTCGTATGATAACACATTGCTGCATGACCAACATAAATGACAGGTGATAATATATGTAAATAATGATTTGTATGTCGTGTACAACATGATTTACTTGTCACGCTGATGGTGTGCTGACGATGGTCTCGCTAGATTTATATGCACCAAATCAGGTATTGCGTGACGTTACTGTATAATCAACATGTGATATGGAAATCATGACATGTAATGTGCACCATAACCTGTATGCCACGCTCATGGCAAGCTAGCGGCAGTTTTGCTAGCTTGATATACGGCAAATTCGGTATTGCGTACTGTGTGACGAACATAAATGACAAGTGGTAATATGGAACCATCTTGTTAGGAAGCGCAGCAACTATTTCACAGAACACACAACACAAGCGCTTACTGGCCCGATACAATTGTTAATTGAGTAATATGGAAATCGTGACATTTCTTGGGCAACATGACTTGCATGCTGCGTTTATGGCCCGTTCACGGCTGTGTCACTAGCTTGATACACAACAAGTTCGGTATTGCATGACGTGGCTGTATGAAAAACATAAATAACAAGTAGTTGTGGAAAAATCATGACATGTCATGTACAGCAAGACTTACATGACAATCTCATGACGTGTTCGCGGCCGTTTCGCTAGATTGATAAACACAAGAATTTTTATTGCACTACAGGACCGTATGACGAACATAAATGGCAGACGGTAACAAGAAAATCACGACATGCATGTCATGTATACAATGGGGCTTACTTGCCACGCTCATGCTGCACTTGTGTCCTGTTCGCAAGCTTGATATACACTGAAATCGGTATTGCGTGATGTGACCATATGAAGAACATGAATTACAGGTCTTTAAATATGAATCATGAAATGCGCGTTATGTACAGCATGATTTGCTTCTTTTTGGCTTCTTCGCTTCACAACGATTCCACAATGCGTGAGATCTGTGGATTTTTTTTTGTTGGTCAACTTAAAGCTTCGCTAAATATGTATACGTGTAGCTCGTTGTAAACGTGTAAGTGTATAATTATTTTGCTCCTATCCCAATGCGACCACCGCTACAGAGACTCGTACCCGCGACCTGCCACACAGCAGGAAACGTTACCACCGCTGTGCAACTGCGGCGGGCTTCCTCGAGCATTGCTCGGTGATTCTCACACAGAAAAGAAAGTCGCTTTCCTTCTTGAGATAGCAGAAATTGAAGTACGTATAGATGGCTATTGGCCTACCGTTTTACAGTGAAAGCTGTTATTAGATCAACAACAAGAGTCGCGTTCTCCGCCGCCACCGCCACCACCGGTGTGCATAACCACTATCGCGCTAACTAGGAAAAAAAAGTAAGCAAATGAAAAAAATGTCACGCACACAATGGGATTCAAACCAGGGTCCCCTGCGTGCCAGCCGGGTATTCTACCAGAGCCACGGCGATGCTTGAAACTCCACTGCGAACTGGCCTTAGGCAAGCTTGATGTCGGGAAAGGACTCGCGTTAATATGAGTAACAAAGCATTTTACAACCGCAAAAGAACAACGAGGCGTCACACAATGCAAATGGTGGTACGACGTCGTCGTCGAATGTGCTTGTTCTCGTTCACCTATTGCCTTTTGCCCATGGCACATACCCACTGCGAGAGATTGGCCAAGGTGTAGATGTAGATTCTAGACTTGTGGCTCACACCCACCCTGAGGGATCGGCCAAGGATCGGGTAGCTTAACAACAACAAAAAAGGCAAATGTATATATTTAATACGGGGGAAAAATTTACAGAAATATTGATTTTGCGTAAAAAATACTTGAGAAAAATGAATTTGTATCTACTGAATAAGCAATAAATAATTGATATCAAAGAACATTTTTCTATAGCCTACATTGGTTAACTGAGAACCTTTTAGTATTGATGTAATTAAGTAAATCCTTTTGACTGTACAATGAAATCTTGCACGGCCGCGCACACTTTCCAACCCATTACTAAAGCACACATACAGCCCATTACAAAAGCTTCTGGCATGGTTCTTCGTCGTCGTCAGCCCCAGCGTAAAAAAAAAAAAAATGCACAAAATTCCTTTGTTTGTATTCCCTGTCGGTCTCTACGTGGGAGTCACCCACTACGCGCTAAGCGCGTTCTGCATGATAAAAATAGAGTATTTTCATTCCGTTCATTTGAAGCGTGTAGTGGGCACCACGCGAAGAATGACGAAGGATGGCATGGTGAATGGCTCCCCAGTACACAAAAATTACGATGATTAATGGCGCAGTGGGTACCCTGCAACTGTGCTTGTAGCAGTTACGCAAAGACCGCTCTTTCAGCTTTTGCTGTGACTGTGCTGCGCGTTCCGCGCAGGCCTGGTGTTTTTTTTTTACGACGGATGTTTGTAAATTTGACCCCCCCCCCCCCTTGCATTCTCCATGGTTTGCAGTAGTGACGGCGTTCTTCCGTTAAACAAATAACAAGTTTATGCTAAGTACCAGCCAAAAGGTAACCAAACGTGTTAATTGGGAAAGGCGATTCCCCACTGTGACTAATGTCATAAAAAATATTGTACATTTGGTGTTTATGCTAGCGTATACGAAACAATTCTTATCTAAGATCGCCCTCTGCTGCCAGTGAGCAACGAGCTGACATGATAACGACAGCTGTTCTGACATGGCAAGTGATCGGAGACTACTCACGTTAATATACACCTTCCTTTATCTTCAAAGGCGCATTTTTACCGTTTTCTTCGCCGTTGTTTTGGCAAAATTTACACATTACATTTACTTTCGATTGGCGCTAGCCATATGCTGAGTAAACTGTCACGAGGAGGTCCCAACCAATCATGCACTTGTGTGCCAGACCTCGCCATTATTGACGTTTCGCTGAGCTCAAAATTTGGCGAACTTTGTTTCACGCCTGGCAAATTATGTGTTTAGGGTATAAAAACGTAGTCCTCCCATTTTCGCGCACTCTGATTGGAGTACTGCATCTGAAAGTGAAGTCTAAGGATGGCCTCACCGCTGAAGGGCATTTGTTTGAAACAACGTGCCACGGCTTTGTGATAGCCTTTCGTCGCCTTGTATAGTTCGTTCACAAAGTTTACGGACGTGCAGTATTGTCCCAGCCGTCCGGTGCAGCTGTACGCAACGATGTGTAAGGTTCTGCGCCCCGATTTCGAACACCGCCTACGTAGCAGCGGGGCCCAGAATGCAGCGGCATTGTGGCACAGTCAATATAGTCGGGCAATTAGCAGAGCTAAAAATTTCCCTCTCCCCCACCTCTCACGTGACTCGGGGCACAGATTGACTAGCTACCGTTCGTCCACGCCATAACAGCTTTTATCAGGGAGTCTTTACCGAAAAAATATCTTGCACGAGTTGCGAGCAAAAGTGTTTGCAGGAGAAAGAAGGAAAGCATGAGACGATAAACATAAAAAATAAACATTTGATTGGCTAATTTACTATCGTATAAGCCGAGGGAGAACACAGAGATGATTAGGTCAGAGGCGCTCGCACAAACGAGCCATTTTCGCGAGAGAGTCGGGGGAGGGTGGGGGGTGAGAGAGGATGAAGTAACGACTGCACAAGAGAGCGGAAAGGCAGGCATGTTAACCAGTTTAGAATAACTAATATGCTAGCCATCACTGGGGGAGTTGGGAAGTTCAGGGATTAAAGAAAGTGAGAAAGAGATGGCTAGTACACATAACGCCACAATTCA